CAGTATGCAGTATGCAGTATGCAGTATTCAGTATTCAGTATTCAGCATTCAACCTTTTTTGAAATAGCTGTAGACCCATGGCGTACATACCTTCTCTGTTGTTCTGTTACACCTTTTGAATGTGCCTGTGGCTGGCCATTGTTATCTGCCTCATCTCTTGATAAATGATACAATGAAGCACTGAAATGAAAAAAACCATATCAGCAAAGAACATGAATCCATGAGCCTAAGAAAACTGGGTTGAGTTGGCATCACATTCATTTTGGGGGGCTCTCTTTTAGAGGAGCATGGGTGGGCGGCACACAAAGCTATGCTGCTAATGCACTTCCTCTCACCAATGAGACTCGGACTTGAGAATGGCTAATACATTTTGGAACTACACAAAAATGTCTCAACTCACCTTCCAGCGATTTGGATTTTGTGATCTGCCATATTACATCGCATAGCATTAAGAACCAGCTGAAAGAAAATAGCAGAATAGCTGTTTAGCCAAGGACTCATAGGAGCTTTGTTTCCAAAATAATATTGATGGTCAAAAGAAAGCAAATTGCAAACCAAAAATCGGTGATTAGGGTGTTGGAGCCTATCAGTAAATGATGGGATTAACAGTGGATTCCACAGAGTGGCTCTTCTTCCACTGGGTTCCAATTGGAATTTAGAAGCTGATTTTTGTGGAGGGAGGAAAGCTGGAGAACCCGCAAAACCCTTGAGGCACAAGAGAGAACCAACAAACAACTCTACTCACATACAACACTGAGCTCAGCGGGACTCAAACCTGGGTCGCATGGGTGAGAGGTGAGCGCTCACACCACTACGCCACCCATGCTTCCCTTAAAGTAAAGTATTATTAGGGTGTTGATATGTTGCTGGTAGAGTGTTGGTTGGTCGTTGGTAAGTTTATTGAATTATGTTTGTCAGCTGATAAGGCTAAAAATATTGTTTTCTCTAAGGCTGTCATATGTCAGATCAGGGAGAAGAGTTGACCTGACATGTAGCCAGTCTTGTCAGATAAAAGCTTCTATCAAATACTGCAACCAAGAAAAAATGCTATGCACGTGTGGCAATTATGTCAGGTGAAACCGCTGAAAGAACATGGTGGCTGCTACATATGCCGCACTAGTCCTTTCCTTTGCACTGATTAGATTCATTTTCACTCATAATTTCTGACCCTAGCACTGTATAATTGACCTATAACATTATGACGTCACGGCTTGTTTACATGGGCAAGAATGATAGGAATTTAAGCAAAATTTTCTTTCGTTCGGGATATTTAGTACGACATTTATCTGTTATCACCTTTCCCTGTCTAATTAACCATTTTTTATTGTGTTTTAATTCGTTTTGCTGCTATTTTGCCCCCTCTGGTGACCATGATCCTTAGCATTAAAACAATAGATTGTTTTGATGTGATGTCATAGTGTTTTAGGGCAATTCAAAGTTCTGCATCCGGTTTTGCCATCTTGAGTGAACATGTATTTTTTGCAAATCTAGAGTGATTTTTTTTCATATTCCTCATCCTAACAGAGGGTACCGGTCGGCAAAAAGTCAAAACCACTAATTTTACCAGACAAATACCTGATGTCTGGCACAAATTTACAGGCTTGAGGATGTGCATGTACAAGTATTGTTTCAACAAACTTACATCACATATTGTACTAGAATCCATCTGTTGCAAGTTGCTGCGGACTAAGTTGAACAGTTCTCTCATTGCATTGATGAGATATCGAGGTCTGTTGACATAGTGCCTTAATGATGCTATAACTTGAGTTTCACCAGCTTCTCCAGTTACCTGCAAAAAGCAAGACACTTCAGTCACCAAACAATAATACCTAACTACAATCAAGGGTAAATAGAGGATATTACATGGGCGCACGGAGATACGAAATTTATCTTCAAGTGTTGAAAAGATCTCTCACAAGTGAGCGCAGCAAACGAGTGAGAGATTTTCAACACGAGAAGATAAATTTCGTATCTCCAAGCGCCCATGTAATATTCTGTTTATTATATAATTATCAATGAAAGTATGTTTTGGCTTTTTCAGGCAACTCTTTCCATGTATTTTTGAATAGCCATCGCAATGGTGTTATTTTCACACGTGAAAATAACATGTTATTTTCACGTGTGAAGATATCAATTTTTCGAAATAGAGAAAAATAGATATTTCATTGGTAATTATATAATAAGATAGGGTAATGTACAGTAAGAATCAAAGTATAATTGCTGTCTGTAGGTTTTAGTGGGTTGTTTTGACAAGATGTAGGTAGTTGTAAGATGTAGTGGAGGTTATTAGCGAAATGATGAATGTAGTTCATGCCAGGGTCACATGTTTGATTCTCGGTGAGCCAGATACATGTACAGTGTATGTAAGTTGAGTTTGTTTGATGTGTTGTTCTCTCCCTTGCCATGAGTTTTTCTTGGGGTTCTCTGGTTTTTCTCCCTCCATAAAAACTAACACGTGGTTTGGGTGTTGTATGTGGTAATTAGAATGTAGTGGTAGCGTGTGTGATTCTATTGATACCACTAGATAACCTACCACATCAGCAGGTATTTTGGGATAGTAACACACATCTGTAATACAGAGTCCCAGGAACTGTAACCTTTTATGTGGAGGTTGAAAGAAAGACAAGTCTTCTTGTTCAAAGATGGCTGTACCTGATGGTGTTAATAAAGCAAACAACATTGGTAAAACGACATATCAAGATTTATGACGATCTGTCATGATTTCACACAGGGCCTCAATAACCACAAGAAACCCAACATAATCGACAACAACATTATTTGAGAACTGACTTTTGATAAATCTTGTGGCTAACCACAGTACAGTGGAATGGGTTTCCTATACATGCAGTCTATCACAAAATGTCATCCGGTTAGACAGATCATCACTCCTTCAAGACGATCAGTCTCATTTCGTGTGTATTGGACATGCATATTTTCTGGGAAGATTGTTAGAAATTTGCTGTCTGGATTAACTATCTATCATTTCTGGTTAAGTAAACAATGATGTACTTAAATTGCAAGATTGATACCTGAGATATCTAGATGTAGTAGGTAAGGCATTTTGGATAAGATTCGGAACATTGGCCCATCGATGTAAGGTGGTTCCATGTCCAAATCATATTCCTTCCTGTCTTTGGACAAGTCAAGGTGTTGTAGCAGTTGAAGTTGTTCAATTGTTTTTAACGGTTCATGGAAATCTCTCAGGCCTATACAGTTGTACAAGACAAGTCTTGTCAGGGTCCTACAAGATACATAAATATAAAACACATTAACAAGGACAACAAAGAAAACAAAAAAGAAAATGGCAGGGACACATTTTTCAAAATAGTGCATTAACAAAATAACTGGTTTTCAATTTGGCTCCCTTTTAATTTACTCACACACACATTACCAATGTTACATTCAATATTCCATACAACATTTTCCCCCATACAATGTTGTTCCTCTGACTCCCCCCCCCCCCCCC